GCTCTGTTCAGTTTTCATTCAAATTTGGCACATACATGTACTTTATACATGTAAGATGCATGTCCATGACAATTTGTTTCAAAGTCTGGTCAAGGATGGCCGATTGACAGCCATCTGACTTTTTGGCTTACTACTATATTTCCTCAATTTATGTACCATTTTCATTCATATTTGGCACTTACATCATACATATCAGTGTGTTTCATAATCAGATCAAAGATGGCCGAATAACGGCTGTTTTTATTTTTGGCCATATTACTACTACACGGAACACATGTTTTGATGTAAATAAACAATCTGTTGTATACGCCACTTGAAACTCAAGTTTCAAGGACACGCTCGCGACAACCCCTCCACTTTAATATGACGAGCACAAAGAGAACTTTCAAAAATTTAACGGGGACTGTGTCATTTTCTTTTCACTCCCAAAAAGTTCTGTTGTATTTGTAAACCATTTTCGCTACTAGAAAATTATTAATTTTTATGATTTATTGATATTCAGAAAAAATAAAGTTCACAAAAGTCGCTGTGACTATAAAACTCCAGTGAATTTTTTTTTGTTTTTTACTGACTTTAATTTGGTTTACAGTTACTGTAAAATACTTGATTTTAGCTGGAATTAATTGAAAAGACTTTGGACGTTTTGTAGGAAATTTATTTTTTTCACTGATTTTTGACTAGTTGAATGAAAGATATAGGGAAAACGGTATATTCGCTAGGTTTTATTTTTACTAAATAATCCTTTCAGCGAAAATAGCGAAAATTAATTCCAGGCAAAAATAAAGTATTTTACAGTAACTTATAATTGTACAACTCATATTGCAGGTAAGAGATGAAATGAAAGAAGAACTAAATGAAATGGAAGCAGAAATGGCCAAGATAAAAGCTTGTATCGCGGCTAAAGCATCCAGAGATATCAATCTTCAACGCAATTCTGATGACGAAGATTGTCCAATGGAAGTTGACACGTATGATGGAAAAGAAATTGCAGATCATGTCCATGGTGATGAAAGTGATGAAGACATCTATGGAAGCCCGATGTCGCCCTCTCCTCCACCTCCTGTAGATGTACCACAATCAGCTGGTGAAATGCCTGTAATGTTACAAGCCGTTACCAAGATGGTGGACGAGCTGAAATCACCAGCTGCTTACACAGCTGGCAGTAAAAGGGGTTTATTAAAACATGTGGTTGGTGAATCTGGTAGTAATAGAAGAAAACTTGATCAGATTGGGAACTTACAAACTGTTGAAAATAAATCACCAAATCGGTGTGCAAGTCTTCGCGATGGTAGCACTAGTAGTAGTAAATCATTTTACAGTCCAGTTATTGATGGAAGATTGGCTGATTCCAGTGTCAGGAGTAGGGTGAGAGACAGTTATAGGAATGAGTCATCTGCCGAGAAGACTCCTGCTGCTAACTGTAATTGGAAACCAGTAGTGGCTAAATCAGAGTTTTCACTTGTGGCTACTGGTCTTACTAGACAAGAACTGGTGAGTTTTGCGTGTTTGTACACTACTTAGGGCACACAGGGATTCATAACACTACTATTGATAGGTGCTGTGGAATCTCCATGAAGAATGATAGGGATGAGATGCTTTGTCATTCATTCAAAAATGTCTAATCATCCTTTTGGCCAGTTGGCTCATTGTTCTGGCCGTTGGTTTATGTTTGTAAATCCACACACGTCTCTTTGTCTTTGTACTAGTTGTAAACCAGCCAATAGTATAATTTCATGTAAATTCTACAGTTGTCAAGTGTAATTGCTACAGATAACTGGCATATTTTGGCATTGTCTTAGCTATACCGGTATAACTGTGGCAAATTTTGTAAGTCGCTATTATAAATCTAATCTCACACCTTGGCAAAGACTGAGCAGCTTTAGTAAAGGTGTCTGGAGTTGACGGGGAGATAAACTCCATCCTCAATTATTGATAAAGTTCGCCAACAACCACAGCAGCTAGAGACTGAGCTGTTGAATGGAGGTTTCTCGTAAAAAATGGGTATTAGAAAAGCAATGTCAATGTTAAGTATTATGCATTGACAATAACAATAGAAAGAATGTTATGTATTCAAAGTGAACCCACTGTCACTGGCATGGATATATGCTGTGTATAATTCAATGTTTATTTATTTCACAGAAAAATGTTGAATATTTTGCAATGGAAACTGGTTCCAAGGTGGAAGCAAGGTTTAGTTTGAATACCACTCATGTTATTGTGAAGACAGGCAAGTTAACTAAATTATCAAATGTGTTGAGATTTCTATATACCAATATTTATGTGCTTTCTCCCACTGGATGGCTTTGTTTTCATAATTTGCACAATTAGTCAAGGAAAGGTATTCAAACCCTATCCCAGGGAATTCGTGGCTGTGAAATAACACTGTTTAGATAAATAATGATTTGATGGATGACACATACATCACGTGACACGTGTGTTCAAAATCACTTTGACTTTCGAGAATAAAAATGACGTTTATTTTTGCTTCTCTGTCACTGACATCACTGACATCACTGTTTTATGGTGCCATGGTTCACTTTAACGTCCATCATTGTTTTCTACTCATTGTATTGTGTTTTCCCATCTCTCCACAGATGTTGAATTAGTCTGTGAGCGAACACTGAAATACTTTTTTGGAATTGCTGCCAGAAAATGGGTTGTCAGCTACAGATGTAAGTGTCTATAACTTTGAATGCCAATGTCAACTTCAGGCACTGTCCACAAAATAGTCTGCTGTTTTCCACTTTTTTGCAAAAAATTCAAATTTTTTGATCTAATGGAAGTAACACACATTTTATTTGCTTGGTTCAAAATTAAGAATGAATTCAGTAAAAATTACAGAAAATGTGAATAAAATTAAAAAAAATTAAAAAAATGTGGTCCTTAGAGTCATCTTGTGTAATTTTTTCACATCTGTTGGGGGTTGGGGGGGGGTTAAAGTTGAATGCCATTTTCTTCTTTGATGGCTGATTCAAAGTTTATGAAACAAGGAACTCAATAGTTTAAATTTGAAATTTAAATTATCTATTTTGTATGTCTGCGTAACAAGTATTGTTTGTGGAAATGGAAACAGAAGTACCCGGGGTATATTAAAATAATCTTTATTGCATGACTGGTAACTCTCTGACAGGGCTGGTAACATTTTAAAGCTACCTGCTCTGGTGTCTTGAACACAATTTAACATTGAGAATTAAATTATAGAAATATTCCTAAAAATTTTCATAAATAATTTTCACCACAAAATGTGTCAGGTACTTAGCCGTGCGGTGGTGGAAGGAAGGGTGTATGACTGGTTACCTTTCTCTAAGATGATGAACCCCATTTGCTGTACACCTTAGATGTGAAGTATCAAGTTGAATAACCTCTGTATGTCATGGTCTTGTCTCTCTCAAATTTAACTAAATAAATAAATAATTTATCTGTAATTAATCAGGGATACAAGCATGTACTGAGGCAGGTAAAGTTGTACCTGAGGATTTGTACGAAGTACGTGGTGATGTCATAAACGGACGTAACCATAAAGGGCCGTTTAAAGCCAGGACGACAACTAGAAGATTACTCTTACATAACTATGAAATCAGCTGCATTGGATCATTTTCAGGACTAACAAAAGGTAGAATATAAAGTAATTATTTAATAACTGATGTTTCTTTAAAAATGCAGGGAGCGATTATAGTTGTACAATATCATCTACGAATAAACTGAAAAAAACACAAACTGATCGTAGAGGTAATTGCTGCATAACATTGTTAGCTCATTGTAAACATAATGTTGATTTTTATTTTTATTCAGATCAGTTATATTGGCTGTTAGAACTGTGTGGTGCAGAGAAAGTAAACAACCCATCCATGTTTAGTTATAATCCAAATAAAAGAACGATTATTATTATGCAGCCTGATGCTAACGATTCTGCCAAGTCTTTCAATTACAACAGTAAGTAATGTACATATACATATTTTATTTTTGCCAGACACAATTGTTATATCTCATCTACCTGAAGTGATGTCTTTTTCTGTGAACATCGATCTCATCTCAAAAGTCAAGCAGAGCTACTTATTTTACTGATTGTCCATCTGCGCCAACTTTGCATTTTCAACTTCCTATTATAAATTAGCAATATGGCTTTGATGTCTTCCAGCAAAATACCTTGATGGTTCTCCTTCAGATTTGTTTTTTAGCTCCGCTGTCAACTTTGTCGAGCGGAGCTTATCATATGAATGATTGTCCGTCGTCGT